GGGTTTTAGTCCCCGGGTTGCCAGTTGGTTTGTCATATGCTAGTTGCACTACCTAGGGTTTTCACTGTCGGGATCATACCTTGGGTGTTACTTCCCGAGTTCCTCTTCCCGTAGATTGCTTAACCTGGGGCACACTACCCTGGGTTAACTTTCTTGGGTTGCACTCAGAACTTGAGGAAAAAAACCTTTTTTTCAAAAAAGTGATTGGTTTTAAAACCACAGAGAGGTGAAACCCAAAAACGTCTCTGTGGATTTGGAAATTTTTTTTTTTTTTGTTATTTCCCGTGTCACTTTAGGAGGCTTTTTCTAGCTAAAACCCGTCGAACTTTAATAGCCAAAAGTAGACTTCCTTATTGGGTCATATTATGTTGATGTACAGGGGAAGTGTTGGTAAAGTCTAGGGGTTTTCGTTTGAGTTTAATAAATTTTACTCTAATTTAAGTCTTAAAAGTAACAAGTGCTTTGAACACTTCATTGTATTTACGGACGTTACAGGAAATACAGAGCCCAAGGGCGGATGGGGGATCTGAGATTTTCCGGTATCTGAAGGCGGGGCGGGAGGGCCAAAAATGGGTTGATGTGGAGCTAGATATCCTGAGTGTATATAGACAGTCACTCCTCCCACAAAACCCATCGTGGACCTTCCAAAAAGGTCTCTCTTCCATGAATGAGCATCGCGTTAAAATGCTCAGGACTTTGTTGTGCTCTCTGGAATTCAGTTTGATGGAATGATTGCGACGTTCGTGATCTATAAGCTCAAGGGATGGGGATGTAGGCGAAATTTCCGAAAAGGGGCTGACGCCGTAGTGAGGTGGCCTTTCCTGGCATAGGTTCTTTACACAAACAAAAAGTAAACGGTTTGCAAACCCAAAGGCGGGTGGGCCGTGGTTCCTGAATGGTTCTTGTGTCTTAGTTCTTGGTTTTTTTGCGGCCCTAAACTTCCTTTTTCGTTTTTTGCACTTAAAATTTTTTGGGCTATATTCGCATTTGTTGGCTCCTCTTTGAAAAAAATTTAGTGCAAGTAGCAGAGGGGGCGAGCTTTGCCGTGGGCGTTTGTGCTCAGTTGCGGGGCAAACTCTGACCGTGGCGCGTTCAGTGTGTCAGCAGCTGATAAAAATTGAGGTCGAATGCCGACCACTTTTTTTTTTTCTTAAGAGAAATCTGTTGCGGTTTTTATATCGACCCAGAAGCTGCTTGCGAGGGGCGAACTGCGAAAAACCTCTTTTTATATATATATATATTATATATTTATATATTTATTATATATATATATAAATATATATATATATATATTTATATATTATAATTATATGTGTGTGGTGTATTTATGTTTCTGAGAGCCCCCGGATGGGCCGAGCCAGGGAAGGGGCACACTGACAGTCTTCAGCACAAGGTGAGGTCTTGATATTTCCCACAGTGGTAATGGCACCCCCGAGGCCCCCACAACATGGATGCGACACCCTTTAAGGTCCTTCCGGGCGCCCCGTCCTGGTGGCGGAGAAAAATTGTGAGGTCATTAAACCCCTTTTGGTGTAGGGAAAACAGCGTCTCTTAAAATCCCCGGATCAACAACCATATTTCATTATCTTTCGATCGTTTCGTCTAAATGAACATCATTTTTCATATACGATGCACGTTTTGAAAAATCCAAAATACATTTCATATAATCAGTTAAAGAGTAAATTGTTTTATATGAATTTATGAAAAGAACAGAGTACTATACTAATTTATTTTATTCTTTTGTCTGAGGATGAGGGTCCTAGGACAGTTCTAGAGGTGGTCCTCTATATATATATATATATATATATATATATATATATATATATATATTATATATATATATATATATATATATATTATATATATATATATTTATATATTATATATATATATATAAGTTCTTCATGCCAAAGCTACTGCGTCAGTAGCTGGGTTGAGGTGGTGGAGTCTGACCTAGAAACAACATCGCTACCTCACGCCTAACCTGTTTCAGAGATGATTTACACGCAACTATTCGTTTTGGAATAGTTTTTCCCTAAAAATATTTTTGCAAACGTTTGATGAATGTTTTAAAATATATAAATCACTTCAATAATTTGTGCGACTTAATATTCATGGAGTATTATAGGAGTAGTGATAACTAGCAGTGAGAACCTGTAATTATGCACAGACACGGGACAAGTATGCTTCATAATACCTTGTCTCGCAGTGCAGAAATTTTGGTTTATGTTATAAATTACGACATTAGCACAAAACTATGGAAATTGAAAACCAAGGGTCGACCAGCTCACTGGCTTCTGTAGCGGCGTCTCCCTCAGTCACACGTGTATGAAATTATCACTCAGGTTTCTGTCTCTCTGTCTGTCTGTCTGTCTGTCTGTCTCTCTCTCTCTCCCCCCCCCCCCCCTCTCTCTCTCTCTCTCTCTCTCTCTCTCTCTCTCTCTCTCTCTCTCATCTTTTCTCCCTTTCTATATTATTATTACTTACTACGACACAGACT